CCCGGCGGGCGTCGTATCTGCCCCGGCCCCCCCCCCTCCCCCTCCCCCCCCCTGCGGGGAAGGGATCAAAGGGAAGGGGCTTCCCTTCGACTCCACTACGACGTCGTTTAATTTCGCTTTGGATAGCGCGCTTGAGAAGGAGAGCCCTGGGAGGGGGAGAACGGAGACGACGGAGACGACGAGTCGAACGGAGAAGCCCCTCAAACACGCCGACAGGGTCGGCGGATTTGATGATGATGATGATGATGATGATGATGATGATGATGATGATGATGAAGATGATGATGATGATGATGATGATGCTGATGATGATGATGCTGATGCTGTTGATGATGATGCTGCTGATGATGATGATGATGATGATGATGATGGTGGTGATGATGATGATGATGATGATGATGATGATGATGATGATGATGATGATGATGATGCTGGCCGATGTTCGCCGTTGCCAGGAAGAGCCGCTTCGCCTCCTGCTTTTTGGCCTTCCACGTGGCCGCGCGAATGTTGTCACGGGCATCGCGTGGAGTTTTCTTCCTACCGCCGTTGGCGTAAAAAACGCCCACCAGGCATAATGGACAACGCTGACAACGCTTCAATGTTGAAGGCGGGGTTGCCTTGGCGGTGGATTTTCGGTGTTTTTTTCGCTGATGCTTGCACCCCGAAAACGGCCGCGAACGCAACATTTAAATTGGTGTCTGGGGGCGGCACCGTCGAAGCAACGTCTGTGGATGGGCGTGTTTTACGCCAACAGCGGTAGGAGTAGCAACAAGAACAAGCAAGACGACACCTAATGTGTGCTCTCGTCGTCTCTGGCCTCTGAGGGCCGCTTCAGGGCTCTGGTGCCATCCACGAGCGGCCCGGGATACCGGAGCGGCCCCGGGGAAGAGGTCGGGAGACTCGCAGGGACTGCGTGCCGAATACACCTCGTCGTCGGAGCCCCGGGCACGATATGTGGTCGATCCCAGACCTCCAGTTGTCGTGATTTTTTCAAGTGTGTCGTGCCTCCAGAGGTCCACTCCGATCCGACTGACCCGATACGATATCGTTTCTGGCCGGCTCGCTCCGATTCGATTCCGATCTTCCGACGATTCGATACGGCCCGCTGCTTGCATTGCGCTGGGGCGCATCCTGGCGTACACCGCACTCACATCTATACCCCTGGGTGGGTGTATGTGCGGCCGTTTTTGCGCTGTCATGTGCGCGAATGTGCGCGGCATGTGCCAGTCATGTGCCAGGCCTGTGCGGCCCTTCGTGGATGGACTTCCTGCTGTGCACGTCGTGCCCGGGCATGTGCGGGGGCATGTGCGCTGTGTTTTGGTGCATCCATCACACGCACATGCACGCACAATCCGACGCACATGCGCGCACATGCCTGCACATGCGGGAGGTGTTCGAGAATCGCAGATCTGTCATCGGCACATGCACGCACATGCCTGTGCAACCTCTCTTCGGGAGGCCGCGCGGGCCCGCACATGCACGCACATGCGGTGAAGCGCGCAGGCGCACATGCGTGCACATCCCAATGCACATGCACGCTCATGCCCGAGGAGCTGTCTGAGACCCCTGTGCCTCCAACGCCTCCTGGCCTTCGCAGAGCTAACCTGGGGCGTGCCAGGGCTTCCTGAAAGAGTTTGCTGTGCGTTTAGACTCGCCCGCTGCTGGCGGGGGCGGTTCTTCGCCCGGTTCGTGAGCTGGCGGTGGCGTGCCCTCCTAGTGAAACACTCCCGCGCGCCTTCTCAGCTCGGCCGGAAAAGCAGGGGTGGGGGGGGGGAGGTGGAGGGGGGGGAAGGAGGGGGGAGCGGAGGAGGCGGACGCCCCCGGCTCGGCCGGCCCGCCCGCCTGTTCGGCTCGGCCAGAGGAGGAAGGAGGAGGAGGAGGAGGAGGAGGAGGAGGAGGAGGAGGAGGTGAGAGTTGCGAGGATGTCTCAGGCGAGAGTGGCTTGACGGCCCGAGCTCAGGGAATCTCGGAATCGCTGGCCTGGCTCGGCCACTGGCGAGCTCGGCCTGTGCGAATACTGTGCGTACCTGTGCGGGGCATGTGCGGGACGTGCAAGAATGCCGGGGCCGGCGTTCGTCTCCGGGCGCCGGCGCGTTCGCGTCCGCGCGCAAACCGCGCGCGGACGCAGCGAGAGATCTCCTGCCCCATGCTGGTCAGGCCACTGTCGCCTAAGAGATCCTCGCAAGTCTCGATTCCGATATGCCCCGAGCTGAGGTGGTCAGCCACTGTCGCCTGAGACATCCTCGCAACCCTGATCTCAATGATGCCCTGCTCGATAGTGTCTCGGCCCCTTTCGCCTAAGACATCCTCAGAACTCTGGGTTCCAAGACGCCCTGAGCTGAGCTGAGGTGGTTAGACCACTTTCTCTTTAGACATCCTCGCCCGAGATGTCCTGAGTTGAGGTGTTCAGGCCACTTTTGCCTGAGACATCCTCGCAACTCTGACCTCAATGATGCCCTGCTCCATAGTGTCTCGGCCTTTCTCGCCTGAGACCCTCGCAACTCTGGGTTCCGAGATGCCCTGAGCAGGTGGTCAGGCCACTCCTGCCTGAGACATCCTCGCAACTCTGGGTTCCGAGACGCCCTGGGCTGAGGTGGTCAGACCACTCTCGCCAGAGACATCCTCGCAATTCTGACCTCAGAGATCTCTTGCCCCATGGTGGTCAGGCCATTTTCGCCTGAGACATCCTCACAACTCAGACCTCGGAGGCGTCCTGCCCCATGGTAGTCTGGTCACCTTGACCAGCGACATCCTCGCCACTCTGGTTTCCAAGATGCCCTGCCCCATGGTGGTCCGGCCACGCTTGCCTGAGACATCCTCGCATTTCTGGGTTGCGAAATGCCCCGAGCTCAGGTGGTCAGGCCACTATCGCCTGCGACATCTCAGCGGCCTGTGCGGGCATGTGCGTCTATGCTTTCAGAGTTGTGCTTGACCGTGCATTCGACTGTGCGTCGGACGGTGTGGCATGTGCGCGCATGTGCGGCAATGCTGTTGAGGCTTTTGTATATTTGCATGGGCATGTGCATGCGACTGTGCGGCATGTGCCTGCATGTGCGGCCCCTTCCGGACCACAATTTCAAAGTGAGCACTATAGAAGTGAGCGCTATAGAAGTGAGTCCGGTGTAGCCGACCCGACTCGATTTCGACCCCGCCCCGATGCAGCCCGATCCGACACGCGTTCCAATGCGATCCGACTTCCCGATTCGATGCCGAGTGATCCTGCCTCTTCAGCTTCGGCCACCATAGTCGCCGGCCTCGAGGTTGACACCAACACCAATATCGGCGGCGTGCCTCCACCGAGGGAAGAAGATCCCGGTCTCGGTGATGGTGGTAAATATTCTGGCTTCCAGGGTGGCCGAAATACAGCCACCAACAGCGGAACCTAGGATCATCTTCCCCCCGTGGAGGCAATTCCCCTGTGCTGGTGGCGGGTGCCCACTTCCAGGCCGCCACCAGAGGTCCGCCACCGGGCCCCAGGGCCGTCAGAAGGCGACGCTCGGGACGAGGAGCCCGCTCCTGGGGGAGAGCGGGTCGAGAGGTCTTTGGGGCCCCTGCCCTGGAATTCTGCGGCGCGCCGGCTGCCTCGGTGTCCGAGGAGGAGGAGGAGGAGGAGGAGGAGGAAGAGGAGGGAGGAAGAGGAGGGGAGGTATGAGGAGGAGGAGGAGGAGGAGGAGGAGGAAGAGGAGGAGGAGGAGAGGAGAGAGGAGAGGAGGAGGGGGAGGGAGGAGGAGGAGGAGCAGGAGGGGGAGCAGGAGGGAGGAGCAGGAGCAGAGCAGGAGGAGGGAGGAGGAGGAGGGGAGGAGGAGGAGGGGGAGGAGGAGGAGGAGGAGCAGGAGGAGAGGAGGAGGAGGAGGAGAGGAGGAGAGGAGGGAGGAGGAGGAAGAGCAGGTGAGCAGGCAGGATGGTGGGGGAGCAGAGGGAGGAGGAGGAGGAGGAGGAGGAGGATGAGGAGGAGGAGGAGCAGAGGAGGAGTAGCAGGAGGAGGAGGAGGAGGAGGAGGAGGAAGGAGGAGAGAGAGCAGGAGCAGAGGGGGAGGAGGGATGAGGAGGAGGAGGAGGAGGAGGAGGGAGAGGAGGAGGAGGTGAGGAGGTAGGAGGAGGAGGAGCAGAGGAGGATGAGGAGCAGCAGGAGGAGAGGAGAGGAGGAGCAGAGGAGGAGGAGGAGGAGCAGAGAGGAGGAGGAGGAGCAGGAGGAGGGAGGAGCAGCAGGAGCTGAGGAGGAGGATGGGAGAGGAGGAGGAGATCAGGAGGATGAGGAGGAGGAGAGGCAGGCGGAGAGGCGGAGGCGGAGGAGGAGGAGGAGTAGGAAGGAGGAGGAGGAGGAGGAGGAGAGGAGGAGGAAGGAGGAGCGGAGGAGAGAGGAGCCGGAGGAGGAGGAGGAGGAGGCAGGAGGAGGAGGAGGAGGAGGAGGAGGAGGAGGAGGAGGGGAGGAGGAGGAGGGGAGGAGGAGGAGGAGGAGGAGGAGGAGGAGGAGGAGGAGGAGGAGGAGGAGGAGGAGGAGGAGGAGTGTGTCGGCCCCCCGAGGCTCGTCTCGGGCCCTGGGGGGGCCGTCCGAGAGCGATGCCGAGGGGCCGTGAGCACACACACAGACACACCTATTCGCTTGGGAGGGGTCGAGTCGGTCGTCCGAGGGCCGCGTGCTGCAGAGTCACGACGTCAGACGCCCGGGGAAGGGTCGCGGGGGGCAGGGCTGTGCACAGGAGCCGATCGCATCCCCTGCTGCGTGCCGAGGTCCGTGCCGGGTGTCGACCGACTCGATTCCGCTCCCCCTGGAGTGGTTTCTCCTCTCCGCGGGCCACGGGCGGCCTTCTCCATCCGAGCGGCCCGGCTGGAGGCGTGGCGGTCGTCCTGCGACTGGGGGGGGGCCTCGGGGCAGCCATAAGGGGGCTTGTTCTCGAGAGGGAGAGCCTCGGTGTCGCCCCTCGTCGCCTTCCAGCCTGCCCCCCTCTCTCGCTGTGACCGTTCTGCCTCGCCCAGCCATCCGCTCACCCGTGGCCTGAGGCGATCTCGTTCGCAGACAAGGACCTCCGCAAGGATGTCTTCATGTGAGCTCGGGCGCAGGATCTTGAGCCCAGAGCCTGTAGTCTAGGTATCCGTGTGTTCGCTGCCAGCGTTCTGGCAGTGCCATTTGAAACGGATTTTTTTCTGCCGCCAGTGCGGTTCCATTCCCATGTGCGAAATTTTCCTTGCACTTCGACGTGTCTTCGCACATTGGCGTTGTGGTGGTTGATTCACATTGAATCTCCAATACATGCTGCTGCCACTCTCGAATACGTATGTATTCGCACATTGATCTGGTGCCGATGAGCTGCTTCGACTTCCCTCAGGGATCAGCGGCACGCCACGGCAGCGATGTCGAAAAGGTTGCGCGAATCCATATGTGTAGTCTAGTCATGCGTATGTGCAATCTCGGAGCTTGTAGCATGCACTTCTACTGCTGCGGCGTGCAACGGACTTCTATACAGCTATGTTTAGCCCCATAGTGGTGGGCGTGTGTTGATATAGCAATGCAGATATTCAAGAGGCTCACGCCATTCCGCCGACCCCCAGACGAGGCGGGGATACCTCGGTTGACGCGCCGTGGGCATCTTGGGCACTAGCTGGGGACTCTTGTGGGCGTCTTGGGAGTTTGGGGGCCTGGCGGAGCCCCTTGGAGGCAGGTTTGAAGCGTCTTGGGGCCCGTCTCGGGGCCTCCTGGGGACCTCTTGTGACTTATGGGGGCCTCTTGGGTAGCTTTGGGGAGGTCTACGGGGCCTCTTGGGCAGTCTTGGAGCGTCGGAAGCTAGAGACGACGAATAAGCCAGGAACAGTGAACAACATATGCAAGGCCATTGATTTTTGCCGCTTGGGGCCCTCTTTGGAAGGCTCTTAGGGGCGTCTCGGAGGCTCCTCTTGGATGCCTCTTGGGCTGTCCCTGGGGCCTCTTGGGGGTATCTTGGGCCGCCTAGGAGCGTCGGGAAAGAGGATCGGCGAGAACGCCACAATCTTTCCAACACCACAGGAAGACCACACATGCTTGCCTCTCGGCGCCCTCTTGGGAAGGTTCCTGGGGCGTCTCGAAGGCGTCTTGGGGCGTCTTGGAGCCATCGTAAGCGTACTTGGCCAATCGTTCAGCGATTCGGGACCGTCTTAGACCGTCTTTGGGGCCGTCTTGCAGCCCTCCTGGGCCATCTTGAGCGCCTCTTGTGCCGTCTTGTGGCGCTCTTACGCCATCTTGGGGCCCTCTTGGATGCCTCTTGGACTGTCTTTGGGGCCTCTTCGGGGTATCTTGGGCCGTCTTGGAGGGTCGGGAAAGAGAATCGGCGAGAACGCCCAAATCTTTCAAACCACTTAAGGAAGACCATACATATATGCTTGCCTCTCGGTGCCCTCTTGGGAAGGCTCTTGGGACGTCTCGAAGGCGCCTTGGGGCGTTTTGGAGCCATCGTCAGCGTCTTCGGCCAATCGCTCAGCGATGCGGGACCGCCTTGGGACATCTTTGAGGCCACGGAGGGCAGATTTTGGAAGCTCTGAAGTCTCCAGGGGTGCGCTCCTCCTCCTCCTCCTCCTTCTTCCTCCTTCCTCCTCCTCCTCCTCCTCCTCCTCCTCCTCCTCCTCCTCCTTCCTCCTTCTCCCCAAGCTCCTCCTGCTCCCTCCTTCCTCCTCCCCCTGCCTCGCTCTTTGGTGTTGCGGCAAGGGCTGCTTCGCCTGCGCCGCGTCTCTCGCCCCCCGGCGGAAACGCCAGCGGAAGAGACCGGCGGAAGCAGAACGGCGGCTGGCATCCGCACGCGGATGCCAGCGGGAGGGTTGGCGGACGGCGGAGGAGGAGGAGGAGCAGCAGGAGGAGGAGGAGGAGAAGGAGGAGGAGGAGGAGGAGAAGGAGGAGGACCAAGAGGAGGAGGAGGAGGAGGAGGAGGAGGAGGAGGAGGAGGAGTAGGCGGAGGAGGAGGAGGAGGAGGAGAGGAGAGAGGAGGAGGAGGAGGAGAGAGGAGGAGTAGGAGGCGGCAAGTGCGAGGCGGAGAGGGCCGAGTTCGGGAAGAGGAGACGGAGGAGGCGGTAGGCAGGAGGGGGATGAGGAGGAGGAGAGGAGTGAGGAGGTGCGGCAGGGGCTGACGGGAGGATGAGAGGATCCTACCCGTTGTGATGTACCACAAGGATCCCGCACGATGAACTAATGAGACCAGGAGGAGAGCTGCAGTGGAGGACCATGTAGGAAGGGAGGAAAGTAGGAAGGAGCTGATGATGAATAGGTAGGAGGAGGGAAGACCCATAGAGGAAACAGGGAGGAACAGGCGGGGGCGGAGGAGGAATGATTCGTCGGAGGGTAGGGTGCGAGGGGGACGTCTTCGGATTCGGGAGGAAGACCACCAACCCGCGGTCACGGCCAAGGGAGGAAAGTGAGGCATCATTGGGGCAACTCCTCGCCTGGACCAAGCGTGCATGGGAGGGGACTGAGAGAGGGGAGGGATGGTAGAAGAGGGAGGTAAAGAAGGTGACAGAGACGTGAGATCCGGGATGATTGGATCACAAACGCAAAAAAGAAATAAGGAGGAGTGGAAGCATCCAACCCAGAAGCCATGAGGATGAGGAGGCGCCCCGCGGAAGGGGGGCCACGGCTTCGCGCCGTCCTCCCACAAAGCGGCGGGCGCCGCGGCAGAGTCACGACCGACGCAGGGGGCTGGGAGGCGTTACGCATCCCTGGGTTTTTCGGTTTCACCTCTGTAGTGGCGCATGGGGTGGGGGGGCCGAACCAACGACGGAAACGGACAGGGTTCCCTCCTCCTACCACCTACGCTCGCCCTCAAACTCACCCTCCTCTCCCCTTCTTCCACCCACCTTCACCCACACCTCCTCCTCCCTCCTCCTCCTCCTCCTCCTCGTCCTCCTCCTCGTCCTCCTCCTCCTCCTCCTCCTCCTCATCCTCCGCCCGCCCCTCCGCGCGCGCAGCCTCCTGGCCTCGGGCCAGCGAGGGCCGCCGAGCCGGATTCGGAGGACGTGCGTTTGGACAGGGGTTGGCTGTCGGCGTCGCCGCGGGCGTGGAACTGTCGGTTTGAGACGGACGTCGCCTGCTCAGCAACGGCCGCTGCCGTTCCTGGGGGTCATCGCTGTTTGGCATCGTGCTCTTTTTTGTCCCTGCCCATTTCGGGTGCGCCAGCTTTCTTTTCATCATTGCTTTTTGGTGTCAGCGGAGCGCTGATGACCTGACTCGCACATCTGGCGGCTCGATGTTTGCAGAGACATGGACCCCGCATACCTCTCGACTCACTTCCCCAGGCTAGTTTTGGTTAATCCCTTGCAGTTTTTGAGGGGCCAGGGTTGCGACATCCAGGTTCTGAAATGCTCTAAGCTGTGACAGATCAGCCGCCTGGATTTGTCCGAACCGCCAGATGTTTATGTCCCTCCGCCTCCCCCCTCTCTTGACACGGACACTGCCTCCAAGAGTTATTCCGTGACGTACGCACCTTGCAGTTGCAGAGTCATGGCCGCATAATTTGCCAGAAGTTGTTGATATGTTGAGTGTGAGAATGAAGACAGATTCTCTTCGCTCCCCTCCTCCTCATGGACTCCCCTGCTTCCCCTTGCTCCACGTCCTCGCTCCCCTCGCTCCCCTCGCTCCCATCCTTTTTCCCTCGCTCCCCCCTCGCCCACCCCCCTTTCTCCCCAGCGGGGCGAGGGGCAGTCTGTCGGCCCGGCGCAGCCGTTTGACGGACCAGCGGCCCGAGGGGAGGGCCGTGCACGCGCTCGCCTGGCCGTCCCGGTGGCCCGCCCGCCTGCAGTTTGCCGGGGTCCGGGTTGGGAAGTGTCCAGGGGAGGGAGGAGGGCGAGAGGAAACGGAGGAGGAGGAGGAGGAGGAGGAGGAGGAGGAGGAGGAGGAGGAGGAGGAGGAGGAGGGGGAGGAGGACCAGTGTAAACTCAAGAATCTTCAATGTTGGAATTATCCCTCCCTCCTAGCTCCCTCTGTATAGGCCCCTACAACGGTTCATTTTCATTGAGGGAACTGCCTCGTTAGAAGACAACCTTTTGCCTCGGGTCAACCTGACTGCTGCGCCCTGACGATCTGGAATCGTGCCAGAACGCCATCTGTGGGATTTCAACACCGCGAAACAACATAACTGTTGCACCCGCATAATCCTGAATCTTTCCAAAACGCTATTTCTGGTACGTTGATCATGGGAATCCGGGAAACTCTGGCGAATTCTCTAAAAAAGCGAGTGTGCGCGGCGCTGGGGCGAGAGCCAACTTTCAAAAGGAACCGCCCTCAATTCGTGAAGTTCTTGCATTTTGTTAGAGCGAATGAGCGCGGCGCTAAGGCGAGAGCCACTTTTTGAAATCGACCCGCCCTCAATCCGTGAACCTCTAGCAAATTTGAAAACGACTGTGCGCGGCGCTAAGGCGAGAGCCACATTTTGAAAACGCCCCGCCTTCAATCCGTGAAGCTCTTTCGAATTTTGGAACGAATGTGCGCGGAGCTAATGCGATAATCACATTGAAAAAACGACCCGCCCTCCATATGTGACATTGTTGCCACCTTTTAAGCTTCTGAGTCATACACAGTGCGGAAGTCTTAGGCGAAACGCCCGGCCCGCCCAAAAACTGGCCTCGGGGTGCGACAGGGAGAACTCGTTTATAAGGAGAAGGAGTGGAGGAGGAGGATGAGGAGGATGAGGAGGAGGAGGAGGAGGAGGAGGATGAGGAGGAGGGGGTGGGGAGGAGGAGGAGGAGGAGGAGGAGGAGGAGGAGGAGGAGGAAGAGGAGGAGGAGGAGGAGGAGGAGGAGGAGGAGATGGAGGAGGATGGAGGCGGAGGAGAAGGAGGAAGAAGAGGGGTAAGCATAATAGTATTCACGACAATAGGAACAATACTATTACTGTTCGGATAAGACATAGGATATGAATACGATGAACAACACGAATAGTACTACTCATACTCAACATAAGCAGACGAAGAAACCACATCGTAATACCAATAAGAACTCTAATCATGCTACTACTAAGAATGCGAAAACTAAGACTAGTAATACTCATACGAGGTATAATAACAATACTCAGAATGCCCACACTAATAATACGAACCACCACGAGCACGTATACTATTACTCAAATGAAGAATACTGCTACTAGTAGTACTAATACGAGTACGACTGCTCATGCTAACACGACTATCAAGAATCATATTCATACATGTACTAAGAATACTAACATGCAGAAGAGGGATCATAATAATAATAATACCAATGATCAAACTTAATATTAATACGAATAATACTACGACTAAGAAGAAGAGGAGGAGGAGGAGGCGGAGGCGGAGGCGGAGGCGGAAGAGGAGGATGAGGAGGAGGAGGAGGAGGAACAGGAGGAGGAGGAGAACAGAGGAGTGAAAGGGGGAGAGGGAGTGAGGAAAAGGGGTGGAGGAGACAGTGAAAGGGCGAGGAGGAGGGCGGAGGAAGGAGGAGAGGAGGAGGGATAAGGAGAGGAGGAAGGAGGAGGATGGAGGAGGAGGGGTAGGAGGAGGAGGAGGAGGAGGAGGAGGAGGAGGAGGAGAAAAGGACAGGACAGGACATCCGCATGAGGGGGTCAACGTCGAAACGCCCGTGAAGGAGCCGTGGGGTACGACTTGCGAAATCGCCTACGAGTGAAGTCCGCCGCAGACCCAGACTTATCATGGGGCCGGCAGGGGGCGTACCTCGATGCGCCAATGGGCGAGCTCCGAGGAGGCCCCGTAAGAGAGGCTCGCTACCTTGTGAGTGCGAGTCCCTACGGGTCAGTGCGGGGGGAGCGGCTGTTGGCCCTCTTGCGCATGTGCGCGCCGCAGAGAAGGGCGCGGGTCCGCGGCCCTCTCCGACGCCCGCGCCGCGCCCCCGCTGCCGCGGGCTGAGCGGCTGGCGCCCGCCACGCGCGCGCCGCCGCAAGCGTCGTGCCTTCAGCCGACGGCGCCACGGCACAGCGCCGAGGGTGCTGGCGGAGCCAGCGTTGCGCACAGCCCCGCTGTCCTCGGGCCGCCGCGTCGGCGGCCACTCGGCCACGGCGCCCGCGGCGCCTTCAGCGGGGCTGTGCCAGCGGCTGCGCTAGCCGCCCTCTAGGGGCCGCAGCTTCACCGCGGTCTTGACCGCGCCAGGCGACGGCCGCTTCGCGAGCCGCGAGAGCGCCGCCTTGCCCGCCTTGCCAGGCTCGCCACGCGGCCCAGCAAACGAGGATGCCCGCGCCGCACCCGTGGCCCCGCAGACGAGGCATGCAAGCCTCGGCGCCTCGCGCTTCAGCTCGCACTCTTTCTGCGGCACCAGCTGGACCACCTAGTACGCCAGTCTGCCGTCCTCCTTCAGCCGCCTGTTGGCCTCCAGCACCGGCACGTCTATGCTGCCAGGGCGTTCGCCGCGCCGCTCGGTCCAGAGGCAGACCGAGCACCAGCTCTTGCCTGGATCGCCGCGTAGCCGGCACTCCAGCTTGGGCACTGCCTGGGCCGCGGCTGCGGCAGCCCTCGGCGCAGGCTTGTTGGGCTTGGCCGCCCTGTGGGTGTTGTCGGAGCCGCCGACAGCAGCGCCCACCGCGGAGATTCACATGGCCACGCCCTCCAACATCTTCTTCGCCTGCACGAGCCTTCGACGGCCGCTGAGCTCCAGCCTGCCGTGCGCCGCAGCACTCTTCGTCGCCTGATCCGCCAGCTTGTTGCCGTACCAGTCGCGGTATGTGATGTGGCCCTCCAGCGCTCTCCGCCGCGCCTGATGCGCGGGCACCTCCTCACGGTGAGGCCCTGCGCGCGCAGGACGCCGAAATCCTTGACCAATCGCCAGACCTCCTTCCACATGTGCGCCCACGCGTAGCCGTAGGCAGTGGTCACCTCTTCGCCCAAGACCGTGAGTCCCAAGAACACGAAGTTGCTGTCCACGACCGCCGTCACGGGAGGCATCGCGAGCCTCAGCACCGTCCGCAGCGCCGCCTATTCGCCGCCGTTGATGTCTACCAGTGGCCCGCACAGCACGCCAGAGATGCCCACGGCGACGACCTCCGCGCGCGGGTGAAGGACGATGGCCGCCCAGCCGACACTGGTGAACTCGCCCTCGAACGCTGAGCCGTCCAGGAAGACCCCCCCAGGCGGCAAGTAGCCCTCGCTGGCGCCAAGCCAGCACACGTCGGGGACCCGCGCAGGCAGCTTCATCCCCTGCGGCGCCGGCCACAGCGCGCGTTCGAGAAGAGCTCGAACCTCAGGCAGAGCGACGCGCGCCGCCAGCTTCCGCATGGGCCCAGGCAGCGCCAGACCGTCAGGCCAGCCTGGACATTCACAGTGCCGGTGGAGCAAAGTCCCTTCCTGCCCACAGAGAAGGCACCCAGGGCTGAAGGCCATGCCGCAGTGACGCTTGCGCGCCTGTGCCCACTGGTCGTCCGCAATCACCGACGCGAGGTAGCCCTTCTCCTTCGGCGTGAGGTGGATCGCAGCACCAGTGGATCCAGCAAGTGGCGACGATGACGCTTGGACCTGTCTGCCGTAAACGCCATGCCTGCTCACCGTGCCTGACGTCGTCAGCCGC